AATGGTTTAAACATAAAACAATTAGCCATTTGTGATAGACATTATTAGTGGCTCATTGCAAATGCTGGAAGGTAATTTTTTTTAATTAGTTGGAGTAAAAAAATAGGAATCACGTGGGATAATTTTAAAACTCTATGCCACTAGCCATTTGGCCTTTTGGCTAATTTCTTGAAGGGCCATTCTACAACAAAGTGGACTGTGGATTTCTGATCCAAAGTGCATTATAGTCAGATATATATCTGTAATCTCCAGCACTCAATTGATGGATAAATCTGATATAACTGAATTGCATGGATGGTGCTGGAAAGAGGGAAAAGTACTTTAATCTCAAAGGGACAGTTGTTTTGTATATACCTCAAAGTAGTCTCTTCAAATGCTTTCATACGGGTAACGCTGTTGTCTAAAGTACTTGCTGTCTAACCTTAAATAAAATTATCCATGCTTAATTTCTGAAAAGAGCAAAGAGGAATATGGCAGGACCCAAAGGTGGCAAGAAGAAATCATGCATTAGAAGTGGAAGGCATAAGAAGCATATTTGGGGATCAAGAATAGACACTCTATGTATGCTCCAGATTGGATCTGGCATCAAAACTGATAAGAACCTTTAACAAGTTTTTTAACTTTCCTGGTATCAAACTAAATCTGAATTTGGAGGGATTTAATATTTATTTATTAATTCATATCCTGTCAACCGCAAGGGGACTCAAAGTGGTTTATAGAATACAAGGTAAAGCAATGATTGAAAGCATTAAAATCCCTATTAGGAAGTTTGAGTACAATGCTTATTTTTAGTCCTTTTTCAAAGGTCAACAATGCAGTTTATTGTAACTTCAGGAAGGAAAATTTCCTAGAATTCAAGAATAGCTGCTGACTTTGAACCACTGCCAGATGACCTTATGCTGATCTTAATTCATTCTGGGATCAGTGAGGATCATGTAAGATGGAACCAAGCAATATTGGGTTTTCTGAGTAATCACTGGGAATTTATATTTTAATTGTAAATAAAGTTATTAGATTAAAGAAAAGATGGTTGGAGAAAAATTTTATTTTTTGTCTTGCTGATTCATTCCACAAATTATTCATTTGGAAATGGAAAGTAAAGCTATTATTGTCAATCCCAAGAAAGATATAAGGGGGAAAAACCTACCCAATATCTGCCTCTTGAGCAAACTCAACTTCCCAGTGGAATCTCAAAGGATGCTATTGTTTTGCTGGAGATAAAACAGAACTATTCTGTAATCTGAGACAAGACACATCTTTATTTCATCAGGGTCCAATTCACAAAGGATAAAGAACCAAACAGGAACAGAGCCCTATGAACTTTGGAGGAAAGGAGATGCTGTCATGGTTGAGCCATGTGAAAAGCACAATAATACCAATACAAACCGAAGAAGCAAAGGACAGAGTCACAAGGCAAAAGAAGCATTTTAAAGAAAAAGATGACAACATGTATGTGTGCAGACACACACGAACAAAGAGTATCAGGAAAAACCAATTGTAAAGTATTGTCTACTTCATTACAATGGAATTCATCTGCTCTACTCATATAGAGGAAATACTGTACACCATGAAGAAACTTGTGAAAGTACAGAACAGCCTTTTAAAGAAGACTGTAATCCAGAAAAAATGGTACATTATATTCCATGAGGGCCTGAGCTATCTTTAATCAAGAAGTTTCTGGGATCATGGCAGATAACGAAGATGTTGACTCAGTGTGGCAACTGTAAAAAAAAGTAAACAACATGTTAGGAATCATTTGGAAATTGAAAATAGAATTACCAACAGTGCAGCATCATTCCCAAACCTATGGTATGTCCATAATTGAAATACTGTGTGCAGTTCTGCTCACCAATTTTGAAAAAGAATATCCTAGAAGTGAAAATGGTGCAGAAAAATGCAGTGCAATCAAAAATGACCAGGAAGTCTTCCTTATGAGTAAAGATAAAAATGTATAGCTTAGAAAAACAATTTGAGATACTGTATATACTGAGATACATACCGGGAATGGACAAGGTAGATACAAGGATTTTTTTCTCCCTCTCTCAGAATAGTAGGCCATCAAATGAATACTAGAATACTAGGTCATCAAATGAAGCTCAGTTTAAAGGAGATTTAGAACAGACCAAAGAGAGCATTTCTGCACACAATGCATAATTAACATAAGGACTCCTTTACCATAAGACATGTGGTCACTAACTTGGTTAGTGTTTAAACAAGGACTGGATAAATTACATTCAGTTGGATAAATTTCACAGGTTTATCAAGGGCTAGTAGCCTTGTTTGAGAGTCAAGGTTACCTCAGGTTGGGATCAGCATGCCTCCAAAAACCAGTTGAAAGAGAACAATGGTGGGAGAAGGATATGTCTCTGTCTCCTGCTTACAAGTACTCCAGAGGCATCTGATTGGTTACTGAGTAACAAAATGCTGGACTATGATGGGCTTTGGCCTGATCCAGCAGAGCTGTTTATATTCTGATATATTTATTAATCTTTAAGAAGTTCCAAA